TGAGCCGCACTCTAAGCCTTACGGTAGAGGAAATACTTCAGATGCCGAAAATGCGCGCAGTGGTTCTCTATTTTCACACGAGTCCTGCACACACAAACTTCGACAAATCCCAATCAGAATCTCAACAGGAATATAGAGGAGGAACTACTCTTTCAGAAAACATAGTCTTATGAGGTTGGATCCTTGATCTTTTGTATAACAGTCGGTGAACCGAGGGTGTTCAGAATAGGCGGAAACTTTTCGTACAACCCAATACATGCACAGGGATAGCCTGACAAGCTTCCGGAGTCAACCCAGTCCCCACGTCAGAGCCTGACAAGCTATGCGTTGGGTATCCACTTGCAAAAACAGTGACACAAGTGGACCTCATTTCCCTGAGCTCGAGGGAGCCCCCAATACGACAGCGTTGGGAGTACCGCTCGGGAGAGGCGGCTAAAATCTCAGGGCCAAAACAGGCTGCCCCAAAGGAGATGGACTATGACGGCGATCTGTGCTTTCAATGCACGGAAGCTTGCTTCGGGAGCGTGCATAGAAGACCTGATGACGCAACCTAGTAAGATCAAGTACGACGTCATGGGACTGACCGAAACGAGAAGGTATCGCTCGCTGCACGTTGTTATTGAAACTGGAGAAGAACTGTTCCTTGGAACATGCGAGAGCAGAGGCGTCGGCGGCGTAGGTGTCCTCGTCAATGCCCACTTGGCCATGAACATCGATTCGTACGAAAGCTTAACAACCCGAATCGGACGTTTGCGATTGAGAAGATGTGGCTCAATCCCAGCTCTGACCATCTTCGTTGCCTACGTAACGACATCAAGCTACGAAGAAGAGCTGGGGGCGTTTTATATGGATCTGGAGAGGCTCTGCACAGGGAGACCACTTTTTCTTCAGGGTCATCGTCGGTGATTTTAACGCCAAGATTGGCTCCAAAGAAACGGCAGAAGAGCTCCACATCGGGGTCCAAGTTTAGCATGTCGACCAACACCATCCATGTTGACTCGCAATTTCAGAAGCCCTCTCATTTGTGATGGACATGGGAGTCATCTGGTGGACAGTTCCATAATGAAATAGACATCATCTTCAATCGGGACTTTGCCTGACCCACGTCGCTATTGTCCCGAAATTCTACACGGGATCGGAACATCGTCCTCTCCGCGTTAAATTCCGCTTCTCAGCGCGTGGAGAGAGAGGGAGAGAGAGCTATGAAGTTTTGGAAACGAAGCCTCGAGACCTTCATCAACTGGGACCACCTCGGTTCCTTTGCGAGTAGATGGGAAGATTCCGTTATCGACAACATCGATGAAGGATACAGTCGGCTCGTCGAACATCTTCACGATGGCGCTAGGAAAGCAGAGAGTCTACAAGAAACCAGGAGACAACTCTCTTCGAAGACTCTAGAGCTGATACGCCAGGGTGGAATCGCGCGAGCTGCAGGTGATCATCAACAAACGTTCGAATTTGCGAAGCTATGCAGAGAAGCGATAAAAGAATATCTGAAGGAGAGAAGAGCAGCAGTTATGGACGAAGCCGCTGAGGCCGAAAAGAGCATTCGCCAAATACAAGACCAAGATGACTTCCCTTCGTCGCCCTGACGGAACAGTCACTGCCATGCGAGCAAGCAAGGTTTCGGAGAGGGTTCAGCACCATCGATCATATCCACACTCTTACAAGACTCATTGAAGTATCACGAGAGTACAAAATGCCGTTATGTCATACGTTCATCGATTTGAAGAAAGCGTTCGACATCGTTGAGACAGAATCGGTAATTGAAGCCCTGGGCAACCAGGGCGTTCCTACTCAACATATAAGGATGCTTCGTGAGCTCGACATCAACTTCACTACCAGGATTTCACCATTCTACAAGGAAGTCATTATCAACGTGAAGAGAGATATCCGGCAGGGCGATACCACTTCGCCCAAACTTTTCACTCGAGAATATCATGCGTCATTTGGAATGGGAAGACTTGGGAGTGAAGGTCGACGGCCGCTACCTACCTCACCTCCGCTTTGCAGACGACATCGTGCTTCTAAGACCGAACATCGAGCAGGCATAACGAATGCTGGCCGAGTTTGACAGTGCCTGTGGAAGGAACGGCTTGAGACTGAACTTAACGAAGACGATATTTATGAAGAACGGATTGGTACTGATGCTCCCTTCACGCTAAACGGAAAGAATATCACCGAAGGAGCTAGCTATGTGTATCTAGGTCGGGAAGTCAACATGTTGAACGACCTAGCTCCGAAGCTGTGCAGAAGGAAACGCGCCGCGTGGGGAGCATTCAAGAATATTGAGGGAGTAGTGAATAAGACAAAGAACAGGACTCCGCGCTCACCTTTTCGACACTGCTGTCCTTCCTGCTCTGACGTACGCCTCGGAGACTTGGATTCTACGAAAGCAGGATGAGCATGCTGTCAGCAACTCAACGTGCTTTGGAAAGGACATTTCCAAAAGGAAATTTCCTATACACGCAAGTGCAGATGGGAATTCGGAGTTCCGAGCTCCGTCATCGAATGAAGATCAAGGATGCCGTTGATTACGCCAAGAAATCGAAGATCAGGTGGGTCAATATCAATCTTAAAAAGTTCAGCGACCTCTCGGGACTCCCCATGAGCGACCCAACGTTTAGAGTCCTTAATCGAACTAACTTTGGCGTTCAATCCTCGATAGCCCTCATATGCTGTCCACAGAACTCGGGCGAAGGCCCTGCGCGCCACTCACGGATGATGTCCTAGCTTTATTACTGATACGATTTTGGACTTTAGACATGATTTTTGTGATGGAGCTTCTCCATCAGCCGCCCTGTCAACCTGCGCCTGACGCTGGTACCGATACCATTTTCGCAATTTTAGCAAGGCATGGAATTACCTCGACAGGGATCGACTCAGCGCTCTCTATAACAAGGAAGGTCTTTCAGGGCGTGGGACGCTTTTCGAAAATGATTTTTGCATGGTATAAGAGCATGAGCACTGAGTATATAACTATGGTCCATTTCCGCTAAATGGATTTCTGAATGCCAAAAAAGAAGTCAAAATGATTTTGGCAGAAATATCCGTTTCAACCCACTAAGCGTCGTTTGTTTCATTCATGGCGTCGACTGTCCGCACAGTAGAAGGCGCCAGTGGACTGCGCATTGAAAATAACGTGAACGGTAGCCAAAAAAAAGGGAGCCACGTTTTGAGACATGTTAAAGAGTGCGGGGAGGTTTCATATGCGCTCTCCGCGGTTGAGCTGCCAGCACGGTTGGTGTGGTGGATAGGGATGAGGACTTCGGGTTAGGACGGCAAGATTGGGTTGATGGTTCGCATTTCCGGTGCTTTCCCGTTTTTGCGTTTTATGCTGCCAGCTCCAGATTGGCTCCATATTGCACCAGGGTCAAAGCAAGTGCCTGACAGGTGATGGTCGTGACCAGTACCACCGATATCCTCTACAAGTCGTTAGAATTTGTTGTTTGGAGCACCATCAATGGAGGAGCTTCCAGGCCTCACACTCCCAGGAGTATAAAGGGGTCTCTTAATTTCACACTATACAGGGTGCGCCGTAAATATGGTAACAACTTTTCGAACGTCAGTAATTTCCTTGTTTGGAGGGTTTCTCCAAATCTGCACTTGCCCTAATGTTTATGATATACCTCAGGCTAAATATCTACTTTGGTGCTCTCAACTCGTCAGAATTTGAAAAATGGTGGAGCCTCGCAGCCATCAACCGGCCGTTCCGTCTTCGTGCGCATTTGGAGAGTCCCTTTCCGGAATCGCTGCTCGCTTCAACATTTTCCCAACTGACAGTCTTTTGAATCGCGATGCGTAGACAGGTCGGGGCAAACCTCAAGACGATCGTCTTGCCTCACATACAACCCCTTTTCTGGGTAGAATCACTTGGGACGGAGTACGCTGCAGAACCTGCCGAAATACGAGAAAAATGATTCCGATATCTTTGTATGTTCTACTCCGATAAGAAGAGTCTACCCCTAATAAATACAATTGTATCCAGATAAGTTTCGAAAGCTCTATGTTATTCTCGACGAGAAGAAATCGGAGAGAAAAAACGAATGCCGTGCGCTATGTGCGCTTGGCGCGCGCTTCGAAGAACCTTCTCTTGACAAAAGGGTGTTTGGCTTGAGATCCCAAAGTATACATATACTTCGCATTTCGAGACCTGAAGCCGCTGAGGAGAGTCAGATCGCCTCTCATAGCCATTTTCTCTCTTTGACGAAAGTTTTTGCCAGAAACTCTACCATCAGAGCGATATCGCAAATTTTTTTCGAAAAAAGTACGAGATTCAATCCAAAACTCTTTAAGAAGTGTCTTTCTGAAAGGATGCAGCTGAGGGTCAAAGATTTTTTCAGAGATCCGATTTGAAAACTACGACACACTTGCTCGCGAATGACAGCTTCCAGTCTTCCGACAAATTTCCCGGACCACAATGTAATGGGCCATTGGATATAGTCCATACTGGAGAGGAGATTTTGCGCCACAAAATGCACCACTGTTGCTGCTCATAAGGAACCATTGAAAAAACCTAGGCTGGAGTTTCTCAAGAAACTTTGCGTGCCGCCGTCGATGAATAGCCGCAGCACCTTTGAACTATAATTAGTACAGGAGACGGTTATATAAGATGACCGTGTGTTAATTTTGTAGATGTGGTGCATAGTAAGTAACTCTTATGAATTCACCATGTATCAATACGAACTGCGGTTTTTGTAGCTCAGTTCTTTTGCTACCATATATATGGCGCACCCTGTATAAGTGTTGTAATGGGGGTCAAAACCCTATAATACGGTTTCTGTTCGATGGAAGCTGTCCTCGACCTCGTTCGTCAATGCGAAGATAACAGGATTCCCATATTCATTGTAGCTCCTGACTCCCTGGAGTCAACTGAGCGTCTTCTGTGGAAAAACGAATCAGATTCTCTTTCAACTCGTCTTCTAGCCGAAAGACCCATGAGCATTGGGCTTGATATAAGAAGCTGTCACCTCTGAAGAGAAGCATTCAAGTGCCGGATTACTACATTAGTGTCTAGATGAAGGGTTTGAGCGATATCCGTCCTCAACCCGATCCACTAACTCGGCGTCCTGCTGTGAAGGGCTTGCATGACACGATCAAGAAAGACATTTCTGAAGTCGAGGTGACTGCAGAAGATACTGGTCGTGAGGAGAGAAGGAAATGGAGATGACCAACCAGCACAGTGGGCGCGAAATCAACGCTAGGAAAAAATACGGGGAAAACATTAGATGCGCCCTTCATCAGTTTTGAGGGAATTCTTTCGAAATAAAACAACAATCAAACCATTACTCTTCAAATCATTCAAAGAATTGTATGGACTGTGCAATGCCCATACAATGTCCGAAGACCAGATGATACGATATCGAGTTTTTTGACTACCAAAATGATATTATAATAGCATTTTACCAACTGAATGAATTCTCGATGTGAGGGATGTAGAAAGAGCTAAACTGATTAAAAAACTACGTGAGGAAGTTGAGGGGGGGGGGGGAAGGGGGGCTCCTGGGAGTGTGAAGCTTGGAAGCTCCTCCATTGGTAGTGCTCCACACATCAAATTCTAACGACTTGTAGAGATTATCGGTGGTCGCCACCGGAAAATGCACCGGAAATCGAAAACCATCAACCCAATCTAGCCGTCCCAACTCAAAGTCCACAACGCTGTCCACCACACCACCTGTCGCTGCCATCATTTCAACCATGGGAACGCATATGAAAGCTTCCCGCACTCTTCAACATGTCTCAACACGTGACTCCTTTTTTTGGCTACCGTTCACGTTATTTTCAATGCGCAGTCCACTGACGCCTTCTACTGTGCGGACAGTCGACGCCATGAATGAAACAAACGACGCTTAGTGGGTTGAAACGGCCATTTCTGACAAAATCATTTTCAGTTCTTTTTTGGCATT